GTTAATTAAAAAATAATAATAAATAAAAGCATATACATCAACTCAAATACGGTTATCTAATAAGCATGTGTCCTATTCTGTGTACTAAACTCCTGAAACATTGGTGTCTCTTAGTACATGATATGATGATAGTTTTTCTCAAAATAAGTAAAATGCTCATGAAGTGACTCAGAGCAGTTCTAGAGTTATGTTTATGTGTTCATGTACTCATATATTGAGGCGGCAGGAGCTGCAAACACCGCAAGCTTCAGTAGGCCTATGTGTAGTAAATGAAACCGCATGTCTGCGCCATTAATTTCCACGAGGGGCGGACTGGGAAAAAAATTTCAGGCCGGGAAATCTCAACTTCATACACCTCTTTATTTTGCCCTGATATCTATCTCTCTCATGACTTTCATACTCAAGATTTAACAAAACTATACTTTCTAAATTGCCTACATGTCAAAATTAGTACATCACTACAAGATCTTTATAGAAAAATCCCACTGAACATGAGTTATGTTTTTCCCTTACAAAAATTAACCATGCTTTAATTATAGTAAAAGTACAGTAACCATGTTTTGTTTTGTTTTTTTGGCAAATGGATTACCATTTGTATATATTTTTACTACAAATTCCATGGTTAAACTATGGTTAGTGTAGCAAAAACCATGGTTAATTTGTGGTTACCATGGTTTAACAATAGTAACCATTGTCTTTGGATTTATAGTAAAATCATCGTTAATTTTCGTAATGGTTGTGTTGTTGTCTGCCCTAGCTCCCCCTAAACCTTGTAATACATTATATTTATTACTACGATATACAGTGAACTTCTAATGTCAGCAGACAATATTCCATACAAAATATCCCTGCAAAATAACTGCATCACTGAGATTTTTGGTGGAGTAAACAATTTATTCTGAAGCAATATTTTCATCAGTGTTCTATCAGCTTTTACATACTTAAATCTGCATATTTTTATTTACCTTTACAAAGGCCTATTTTTGACCAAATTATTACAATTGATCAAATGCAATTTACACTACAGGGCTGCTACCAGTCGGATTAAATAATTTACACTGCAAATAACAATAATTACAACTGCAATAAATAATGTTATGAGATTAATGTTTTAAATGCATTTATGAATATACAAATAAGAAATGCTGAGGGGAAAAATGCATACTTTTCAAGATACTTCTCAACTAAACTACCAGTAAGTGACGGTAAGTCACTTGATGAGTGAGTCATTGAGTCATTCATTCAACTGATTGAGTGTGTTATCATGCTGGTATCTTAAAGGTTGATTCATTCAGGAACAAAACGCTGTCATGTTGCTCAAAGACACAAAACAGCGCTGTGGCTTTGTTTGGAATAATTTTTGTTGGCGAAATAGTGCAAAAACAGGCAATATGGTGTCTAAAACGTAAGTCTCTTAATAAAACTTCGTTTATTGAACTGTTGTAAAAAAAAAAAAAATCAATATTACATTTGTACATGGTAATTTTTGGAGAAAAAAGGCACTCTTCCGTGTGAAATTGATTAACTATAAGAAGTGGTATAAATATACACATTTTCTGCCCCCATGTCTTGAATTTGTGATCATTCTGAATGTATTTTAGTAGACTGAATCATGCAGTGAAAGAGCGCACTGTAAATGTGCACGCGCACTAGACTTCACGTAATACGTGCACTCTGTAGGTGTTTTGAATGTTTGTTTTTTTTTGCGTTGTGAGAATATTGAGCAAAATAGCTCACTTGTCATGGTGTTACTTAACTATATCATGTTATGAATAAACTAAACATTGTGAATTTTTACCTCAGTGTGTTTCTTCTGAGTTTATGTGTGCTGTTACGCATTTGTTCTGAAGTCTCTCACAAAGAGACAAACAGAGAGACCCTCAGCACGACCTTGTATTCTGTATTCTGCTAACTTACTGCAATTCTCTCTGATGACGCAGTAACTTACCGTGGGGAAGAAAAAATATTCGGTCTGTCCAATGATTGTAAAGTCATTAGGTCTGTCAGACTGAAGATATTTTAGCATAATGTGACCAAAAATATTTAAGACCCATCTAATCCGAATTTAAGACATTTTAAGACTTTTAAAGGCCTTATATTAGGAAAATGTTATTTAAGACATTTTAAGACTTTTTAAGGACCCGCGGACACCCTGAAATAATCGCTTTAGTACATTTGGCAGGTTATTATACAATAATAATATTAAAATAGCGGGCCAAATCGGCTGCCAGGCCACCGAGAATTGTCCCGGTTCTCCCGATGGCCAGTCCGCGCCTGATTTCCACAGACACGCAGAACGTGCAGGATTCATATTATTGTCTTTTTGCGGCTTAATATTCACAGACAATAGTCCATATCACGATTACAGTTACATTTATTTTGTAATTAAATTACGTAACGCCGTTACATGTAACTAGTTACTCCCCAATACTGGTTACTGCACACTTAGACAGCAAGGAGCCTGATTGACATGTAAGGTATTTTATGTTATGCTTTGGGTCAGATTATCTAATTCCTCAATAATAGACTGACATGGCAGTCCATTCAAGTAATGACACAGCAGACTGCACTGGAGAAATCAATACAATTTTAAAATGTTCATAAACATTGTGGTTAATATTTCCATCCATTCAAAAGTAATAAGTACAAACTATTTCACTGACCATGACTCTGAAAAGCGGAATACACAGTTCAGGGATTTTTCATTTAATTGTTACTAACTGCCTCAAACAAAAACCCTCAATATCTTTCAGAAATTCTATACCAGGAACCTCACAAACCTTGGCATGTGTATGACTTCTGGAGGCTGTGTAGAAGCCAGTTTAATGTCATTTTTTGTGTTCAATATGAGTCAGAAGGTCTGTGAACCAACTCTTGTAAATTATAAAATACCTTATAAAATGGCAGCATTAACAGTTGTGAAAGACTGGTGGTTGGTAATGGTAATTAAAGGGATAGTTTAAAAATAATTTACTCATTCTTAAGTCATTCCAAATCTATGACTTTCTTCCTTTTGTAGAATAGAAAAGAGAATACTTGAAAATAAAATTCTTTACCTTACAATGAAAGTCAGTGGGATCCAATGTTCTTATTCAGTCTTTTACAGAACATATACACTCTAAAGAAAAATGGTGCTAAATAGCACTAAAAGTGGTTCATTGGCTTGTAATCATAGGGGAACCATCATTAACGGTGCTGTACAGCACCTTTGTCAAATGGTGCTATATAGAACCACAAGAGGAACCCCATTCACCTCATTAGATTTTAGATATGTTACTCCACTCTCATACGTTTGCTATGAATAGGAATTTACTACAATGGCAAAAGCTGTTTTAAATCACTTGTATGCTTTTATGAGGTCAAAAGGTCTTGTGTGGGGGCCCTGGAATATTTCCTTATATGGGTCTTGGGGGCAAAAAGGTTGAGAACCACCTCATCTTCAGGAAATACACTGTATTTTAATATTGTTTTAATCCTTTCCCCAACTTAACTAAGAGACTAAGAGAGAGTTAGAGAACCTTTAAAGAACTATACAGGGGCTTAACGGATTCTTTGTATGGCAGTATATAGCACCTTACCCACCCCAAAGGACAGCTGAAGAACCAAATGTGTGTGTGTGTGTGTGTGTGTGTGTGTGTGTGTGTGTGTGTAGTCACAGAAGGAAGTCATACGGATTTGGAATGAGTAAATCATTTTTGTACGTTTAGTCTGTTCGACAATGACCGACCAGTTTCAAACATCATTTAAAAAAAAAAAACATAACCTTGGATTATAAATATAATTTTACTTTCTTTCACAATGTTCTCAATATTTACAGCATGTTTGATAAAGAATAACAATGTTAGCTTGAATGTTTATGTAGTATTAGTTAAAGGTCTGGTGTTAGTTAAAGGTCTAGTGTAATCCAAAGCCATAATCTTTAATCATGCTCTGGAGTTTATATTAATCCCTTTATACTACGATCATGAGCTTCCATTTAGAATATTTTATAAAATTAATCTTTAAATGCCTTCTTGCTTTGACCAAAAAAATAAATAAATAAATAAAATAAAATAAAAAATTGCCAAATTGACTTTGTTTATTTGCATTTTTAATTATCACATGATATTTGAAATCTCACATATTTCTCAGCTCAGTCTCTCACTTTCAGTAAGGCCAGATGGAGGTTCACCAAACAGGATCTGAGGTCACCAACACAGTCTGCCACAAGGAAGCAATGATACCTAAGAATGTTTGTTAGAGTGCATGTACTTGTGATACATCTTAACACAGATGGTAAGACATCATATTTAGTTTCATAATACAATATTCCCAGAGAGTGGTTTAATCTCATTGACTTTTTTCTTATGGGTCGAGGTGTGCATGATATGTTCAACATGCCTGGTTTATTTCAGAACACCAAATAAGGGGGGAAAAACGATATTATACCTGAAAATAGAGTATTAAAGTAGTGTGTATTATTTGCTGCAAATTCTTTTGGGTTCCAGCAAATTTCCAACAATTCCTAAAAACTGTGCTGTGTCATTTTCAAGCTGTATTACCCATGATGCAATTGAGTTCACACTCCCAGCATCCATGCCTCATTATGCACAGCGCAGTCACTCACAACCAGAGACGGACAAAGTACTCAACTCCATTACTTGAGTGAAAGTACAGATACTGCTGGAACACACCACTCCATCAAGCCATCATCACGAGAGGTGTCAGATACAAGTGACCTAAACCCAGAATCTGACCTCAAACCCACTCAATCATGATCATGGTCCAAACCTAAAATTAGACTTAGAAAATGACTGATGGATGAAGAAATATGCTCCATCCACACGTCACTTCATCACAATGAAACTGTGCACCCACACATCATCTGGAGATAAATGTACTGAGTCCTAGTTTCTGACCAGCAGTGTGAGCTTTGCTCCACCGGCGCCCTACTTCCGAGGATCATACGAGGCGTACCGCATTTCTGCTCGCCGCATCTTTACGGTGCCTCGTAGCTTTTATCACCACGGACTGAAATAGCTTTGCCTTTCATGGTGACGGATCCAAAAATACGATCTGTTTCATTTCCCCCACGTTACTCTATTAGCATCAAAGCCTTTGTTCTGAATCAGGAATCGGTCCTCAGCAGTGACTTCGAAAGCAGTGGAATAGTGCCTATTAAAGTGTAGCTATTGACCCGAGAGTTAGATGGGAGAGAGGATACGAGACAGACCTTTGATGGCTTTGATAAATGTCCTCCCATGGATGAGTCACAGGGAACATTATTTAAAATCAATGTGGCTTTTTCACTCTGGCCCTAGAGTGGCCTGGCGCCTTTGAAAGCTCTGTAGCCTGGTTTTAAGAGGACAGTGATGTCCTTTTGAGTGTGCCTGTTTACACAGGGGGTTAATGTAGCTCAATTACATGTGCATTCTTTTGTCATCGCTCTAGACCCTTTGCCCTCGATTTTAATAATCAATTGGA